CCATTTCCACATTTAACCCAAAGGGATAAGATGGTTTATTTCAGGAATTGACGCACTCGGGGGCACATTTTGGGCATGGCAGCCCTTCTCAAGACTTGGGGACACTGCCCATATCATGCCATGAAGGAGAGAACCGTTTCCACACAGAGCCAGTTAAGCGGCTCACTGGCTTGTAAACAGTGTCCCCTGGCTCCTTGAGATTTAATCATTATGGATACTTTGGCCCTGGAGAAAGCAAGAGTCCTTCTTTGCCCCTCTCTGGAGGCTGTTCAAGCCTTTTGTCCATTAGTGACAGGAAGTGGCAGTCTTAGGGGGGCAATTTCTTGTAAAGGGTTTCTTGGGATTGGATCCTGGGCTGGGAAACTCAAGAGTCTAGCTGCTTCCATGGGATGGCCTCCAGAGTACAATGTGAGCGACACAAGGACTCATGCCAGGCTCCCAGCCTTAGCCCCCTGCCCTGAGAAGACAAAGCACAAGCCACCTGTAGGTCCCCTGACACACAGAGCTAAAGGAACTTCAGAGACACCTTGGCAGACATACAACCCAACACTCAACATTTTTCAAATGCAGACAGCGAGGTCCCAAGAGCTTTTGACACTGGGGTACCTGCCTTGTCAACTAGAAACCCATGGACAAAATGCCTACATTTGGGGCTTTGGATTCAGAGTCAGCCACAAGCAGAGGAATGCAGGCTGGGAGACAGGTGAGAAGGGACTCAAACTGATCTGACCCCTAACCCCAAAAAGGCCTCTATCTCCTCATTTTTGAAATGAACAGGCTGGACAGATGTTCCCTAAACCTCTGATGGCCTTGGGTTCCACGGGGGCCAAGAAGCTGCAGAGGGGGCAGGGGAGCTCTAAGAAGACATCTGTCATTTTTATCCATAGGGCTCTGTGGCATCTGGGTTTCTAGATCTTGAGCACATCAGCATGATGGATAGTCTTGGGACCAAGATTACATTATGGGGTTAATTTATTACATTTGTGAATACCCATTTGCTGGGAGACTGTTTTTCCAAGTTATCTGCATATTTTTCACCATAATAACAATATGTAGGAGGGCATCTGGGAGGAAAAGGATGGATATTTAGGAGGAGAGAGGGCTTATTTGCCAACTGGAACAGGTCCCTGAGGGTCTGCAATGAGGACAGAAAGAAAATCACTCCCAAGGGACATTTAAATTGAAACTAAGAGAAAGCAAGATGTAAGAAAGTCTTGCAAAGACCAAGGCCTGCGTGGGCAAAGGAGGATCCCTGGAGTTCACTGAACAAATATGCAACAAGTGAACAGAGTAAAACAATAGGCAATGAAGTATCCAGCCCCTTAAGATGCTGCCAAGGTCCCCTCATACCCACTAGGCTGATCACATGACAGATCATTTATCCCATCCCTGCCTAAGGTTCCTAAGACACCAAACACAGGAGAGTGGGGGGAGCCATAGAGAGTGAGCCACATATAGCCTACTAACAATCCACTGGTACCCCGATGCTCAAGGATGCAGCCGTTTGGGACACCTCCTGATCAGAGCCTCAGCCTTGTTCATTCTTTTGGTCCAGCCCCTCACCCAGTGCCTGGCCCAATCCAGGTTCTCGATGAGTGCAAGTAAATGAATTAATGAAAGAAAGAACAGATGAAATGATGGCGGACAGTGGCTCGTTGCCATTTGCCTGACCTGAATCCTAACTTATTCTGAATGAGAACAAAGGCCTCTGATTTCAGTGCTCGAGCTACAGGTAGCGGTGTGCAAAGAGCTGTTTTCAAAAATGAAACAAGAGCTGGGGAATGCTCACTATGTACCCCCTGCACCCACCAGGCTGCTTGCGCCTCTAACGTGCTGTCTTTCCCCACCACTGCTCCTTAACCAGCTGTGAGTCCCCTCCCTCTCTGAATCTCAGGTTCCTCACCTGTAAAATGGGATCATGGGAGCACCGATTCCATAGGGTTGGGTGGGGGGGAACAAGTGAGATGGTTGTAAAAATATAAAGTGCACAGGGGCGCCTAAGTGGTTCAGTCGGTTAAGCATCCAACTCCTGGTTTGGGCTCAGGTCATGATCTCACAGATTCACGGGTTCAAGCCCTGCATCATCAAGCTCTGTGCTGGCAGTGCAGAGCCCGCTTGGGATTCTCTCTCTCTCTCCCTCTCTGCCCCTCTCTCACTTTTGCTATCTCTGTCTCTCTCAAAATAAATAAATAAACTTATATATATATAATATATATATATATTATATATATATAGGGCACATGGGTGGCTCCATGGGTTAAGCGTCTGACTTCGGCTCAGGTCATGATCTCACGGTTGGTGGATTCAAGCCCAGGGCCAGGCTCTGTGCTGGCAGCTCAGAGCCTGGAGCCTGATTCAGATCCTGTGTCTCCCTCTCTCTCTTTTCCCCTCCCCCACTCACTCTCTGTCTCTGTCTCTCAAAAATGAATAAACATTACAATTTTTTAATAAAAAATAAAATTATATATATAACTGTATATATTAATTAATATATTAATTTTATGTAATTATATATATATACAGTGCACAATGCCTGGCATATAAATGCACAATTCGTGCTATTATGGCAATGATATTAACATCTGCACACACTGTCTAAGCCCCTAGAACAAACACTCTGGACCAGCCACCATGCTTTTCAAAACCCCATCTAAAACATCCTCAACTGCACCCCCTCCCCATCTCCATTTCCCAAGGCAGTCCCCAAGGTGCCCTAAGGAAGGACCTGCATCCCCCCTGCCAGAGATGCCTAAAGGCAAGGGAATGTGGCCCACACTCAGCTCCTCCCCTCCCTCACCTGGTCTTCTGGCGCGAGGTGTGACCTATACAGCTCCCCAGATCCACGGCCGACCTCAGACCCAAGCCAGGGCCCTGACCTTAGGCCAGCAGCACTGGGCACTCAGCCAGGGCAGAGCCCATACATGCCATTCCCTCCCCAGTGTTTTGCTGACCCCCCCCCCCCCAATGTTGCTGACCCCTTTTTGGTCAGGAGGATCTTACAAATCATCTCTTCTTAAGCTTAGAGCTTCCACCCATAGACATGAAACGTCTTCCACAATTTCAGGGGTTCCCGGGCTCTCTGAAGTCATCCCAGACCACGCAGTAAGAACCCTTGATCCAACTCGACTACTACTTTAAAAATAATAATAATAACTGCTTTATTGAGATGTATTTCACAAACCATAAAGTTCACCCTTTAAAACATGCAATTTAGTGGTTTTTAATGCGCTGTGCATCAATCACCACCATCTAATTCCAAAACGTTGTCATGACTCCAAAAAGAAAAACCCCGTCTCCCCTTCCCTCAGCCCCAGGCAACCACTAGTCTACTTCCTGTCTCTATGGGCTTGCCTATCTTGAACATGCCATATAAATCATACAACATGTGGCCTTTCACGTCTGGCTTGTTTCACTGGGCATAGTGTTTTCAAGATTCACCCACATTGTGGCATGTCTTGGTACTTCGTCCCTAAAGCCCAAGTCAGGTCACGTCTCGTCTCTGCTCAGAACACAGTCCATCCTGGTGCCCATCAGGCTGATACTATTACATAACAATAGCAGGTCATTTTCCTAGAGTGTTTCCCATGGGGCCAGGGTCTTAGGAACGCTATCTCCTTGCATCCAACAGAATCCTTGAACCCGAAGAGTTGGGGATGATGAGCTCAGAGCAGTTAGGCGACTGCCCCAGGTGACCCGGAATGGCATCAGCAGATGAGCCCAGGTATCTGGCCTGACCCAAGAACGGAGCTCCTTAAACCTCTGAGCCATAACTGCCACACTCTGGAGGAAGAGGAAAACAATCGAAATGGAAGCCGCTGGGCGAGCTCTGGGCTCCAGGCGAGACTCGCGATTCACGCGCGCCCGGGTCCTGCCCAACAGCTCTTTGATCTTGGCAGTGCCTGTGGCCCCGCTGACCCCGCCGTGAGTTATGGGGGCCGCGGGACTCATAACACAGCATTCCCGGACTCCCAGGGTCTTTAGGACACGGCGCCCCGCGCGGTGATGGATGAGCCAGCCCTGGGGGCTGGCTTTGTCCCAGCTGGGCCGGGCTACGGGAATACCACCAGGACTTTGGACGGGGCGTGGCGAGAGGAAGACCGTGTTTGTGTGGGTGTGTGGGTGTGTGTGTGTGTGTGTGTGTGTGTGTGTGTGTGCGCGCGCGCGCGCGTTGGGTAGGAGGATTGTATCTCTCCCTTCCCTCTCAGGGTGTGTACCGGGGGAGACACACTAGTGCGGCCGTCAAGGCCCGGGATTCTCACCTGGTAACGGTTTGAAGACCGCCTATACCCCCCACAACCAAGAGCGACCTCTCCAGAACCCCGCCCCCTGCTCCGCGCACTTTCCGAGACTACAAAGGCTCCGCGGTGCCCCGTCCCGCCTCCCTCGCACCGGGCATTTCTTCCGTCCCATTTGACAGCCAGGGCGGAATAATCCTTTTGGGGACTGGCCGGCCCCTGCCCGGCCAGACGCGGCCGCAGCTGAGCGCTCAGCTCCGATCCATTGTTGGGTCCGCCGGGGACCCCCTGCCGCGGCCCTTTGTCGCCCGTTCCCGGCGGGGCCGCTCCAGATGCGCCACCGCTGCCCGCGCCCCGCCCGTCCCACGCGCTCCGGGCAGTACCGAGGCGGCTCTTACGCACCGGGAGGAGTGGACTCGCCTCGCCCCGTGCCCGCTCGGCCGCCCGGCTGCGCCCGCCTTTGTCTGCCTCCTTTGTCTGCCCCGCGCCCTCGCGGCGACGGCGGCTAGGCCTCTGGGGAGCGGGCCCGGAACGCCAAGTGCAGCTGGCGAGGGCGCGCCGGCCGGGAGCGCGCAGGGCCCAGCCGGGCCGGGGGCTGCCCCTCTGCCGGGGGCGGCCGGGCCAACTCCCACCGCCCCTCCCCCGCCTCCTCCCAGCGCGCCCGCCCCTTCCCGCGCGCCGGCCCCCTCCCCTTCCCTCCAGCCCCTCTCAGCCTGGGCACATCCTCCAGCCGCCCGCGCACCTCTCCTCGTGGTCCCCGCTTCGCAGCTCGGCCCTCCGCTGCGCTCGGCTCCCGCAGGCGCTCGGCCCCGGGCCCCTCGGCCCCCGCCCCGCCGGCCGGACAGGTAAGGCATGGCCTTGGCCCGCCCCTGGCCCCGCCCTCCCTCCTCACCTGGTAGCGTGCCCGGACAAAGGTGGGCTACCTGGCGCGGTTAGGGGCAGGGCGCGCGGGGGACTGTGGTTGAAGGTGAGGATGCTGCTTTCCTCCCTGCCCTCGCGGCCCTCGAAGCCGTCGGTCCGTGTGTCCGCCGCCTCCGCCCCTCGCCGCGTCACAGCTGGGCTCCAGGCTCTGCTCCCGGCCCCCGCGTCCGCCCACCTTCCGCCGGACGCTTACTTTTCCACGCTCTGACACTCTGCCTCGCGCGCGCCTTAGCCGCCCTCTCTGGGTCGCGCGGCTTTCGCCTTCCCTCCTCCTCCGCGCTAGCCCTTCTCCCTCTGGGACCGCGTCTCTCTTTGTCTCTCTGTCTCTGAGTCTCTGGGCGGTCTCCAGGACGCGGGAGCGGACCGGAGAATCCGCCACCATTCGAAGAAGCTTCGAAGACTCCCTGCGCCCCGGGCAGAGCTGACAGGCGTGTCCTCCTGCCCCTTTCGAGGCTGCCTGGGGGGCTAAGGTGTGTTCCGGGGGAAGGAGGCTCGGCGTGCGCCTCTGCCGGCGCCGCCGGCGGCCACGCGCCCTGGCGGTTCTGCGCCCTAGCAACCTCGACGGCCCCGCTCTGGCCCTCTTCCTCCGCTGGCTTTTTCTCCATTTGCGCACCGGGGTCTCGGCTGCCCTGCGGGGTTTGAGATGCGAGGGCTCTTGGGTTTCCCGCCAAGTCTTCTTGCTTCCCTCCACTGGGGGTTCCCTCGGCCTTCGCCTCCATCGGGTCTCCTGCCCAGCGCACCTTCCCCGCTGCCCTCCTCCCAGCGGGGGGCCCGCAGGAAGTGTCCCGGTGCGGTTCAGCATCATCCCCCAGGGATCAGGCAGACAGAGGCCCTGGGAGTGATCTTGGACAAAGGAATGCATTTTCCTGAGCCTCGAAGCCCCCTTCATAAAATGGGGATAACAGCACCTACCCACAGGGATGTGTGTTGAAACGGTGAAAAAAAAAAAAAAAAAAAAAAAGCAGATTGGATGCCAGCACAGGACACACTTGGTGGCCGTGGGGGAGGCTTCGGTCCCTGGCTGGGGTGGGGAGGAGGCTCCCCAGCAAGGGTGAGAAATGGATCCCAATTCAAGGCTTAGAGACCCTGCAGGGAAACCTGAATGTTCCCTGCCCCCCTCCCCCCAGCGTGGCTGTCACAGTTGTAACCGCCCACGCCCATTTACAGGGTTCCTGCTGTCACAGGCATCGTCCCCTCTTCTCGCTCCTCCTCTCTGCTTGTCCTAAAAGCAGTTTTAAAAAGTCAGGGTGAATAGGGTCTCTGCTTCCAAAGTGAGATGAGTGTCGCTGTGATAATGTTGCCAACAGCTGGTCATTCATCATGAGGCGTCCATGTGACTCATTCCTAATTCTGAACCTCTGTCTTGCACAGATTTCTTTTTTAATGGCACTTGCACACAAGCCATCTCCTTCCCCCTGGGGGCACTGTCTTGCTGTATCCTGGACCTGCTGTGTAATTGCCCAAACCCTCTGACCACCGGATCATCTGTGTCCTCATAACAGGGGACACACACCCCCCACCCCCCCACCCCGGAATCCAGCAGTGGCTCAATGAGGGCCACTTCAGCAGAGGGTAACCTCCTCCCAGCCAGCACATTCTAGGCTCCCCCGGCTAAGTTCTTGTTTTCAGCCATGGCCAGAGGTGGCACTTAGGGACTAGGGACACAGGCACACCCCATCCAGCCTCCTGCTCGTGATCCCGCCTGGCGGACAGGCCCAGCTTTGGCAACCCAGGGCGCCCTTGCCGGCTCTGCCGCCTCGGGAAAGCCAGGTCGGCAGCCTCTGCGACCCCTCCAAAATTCGCTCCTTGCCCCTCACCCACACGAAAACGACGGTGCCTTCTCCGCCCGCCCGTCCAACCAGCCCCCTCTCCCCAGCCCTAAATCCTTCAAATGGCTCCCTGTTGGCACCAAATTAACAACTCCACCTGCCACCCACAACACTCTCATTGCGTCTTTGGCTCTTCCCTCCTGCTGAAACGTCTCCTCCCCTGCCCGTATTCAGTCGAAGCCTGCCCTCCCTGCAGGCCAAGGTCAGATGTCCCCTCTTGCGGGAAGCCCTCTTGCTCCCCCCTTGCCTCCCCTTCTCGCGTGGTCTGCGCCCCCCTGAGCGGGGCTGGGTCTCTTTCCGTTCGTGGTCCCAGGACACCCAGTGGGTGCTCCATGCACACGTGTTGTACCGACTGGAACGTTTGGTCAAGGGGACGGGAGTGACCTGAAAATTGCAAGCCACAGGTTATCCTTGGGTCCCACCGGGTCCTGCCGGCCAGGCCAGGGGCAGGGGTGACCCTGAAGCAAAAGACCGTGGCTGGGGAGGTCAGAGGGGGAACGAGCCTCCTGGAAAACCCCCGGGGTACTGGGTTCTTCCTCTCCCTGGAAGATGAGGATATCTGTGCCTGATTATAGAGAGGGAAGTGATTGCCCAAGTCCTGCAGAATGGGTTTGAATGCCAGCTGATGGCTTGCTAGCTACGTGACCTGGAGGGAGTTCCTTCACTGGTCTCAGCCAGGAATTTGGTAGAGCAGAGATTTGCATCCTGGCCTCCCTGATTCTACAGCCTGGGGAGAAGGGCGCTCCCTCCAGAGAGGGTCCTGGGCATATTCCCAAGGGGGGTGTTAGATGAGCATCCCTATTCTGGCTCTTTCGGAGGAGACCTGCCTCTTTTCCCACTGCAGCCCCTCTGCCCGTCTTCTGTCGGCCCTTCCTCTTGAGTGGGCCATGTGGCCAACTGAGCAGAGGCCATCTCCAGGAAGGACACAGGCCGTCCCCAGGAAGGACACGGGAGGGTGGCTGAACCGTTGCCCCTAGAGGCCAGGCCGCCCTCACCACCAGCAGGTCCCAGCTTTGACAGCTCTCCATACACAACGCCGTGGTCCGGCATTGACCATCTGGTACACGTCACTGGATGGGTGTGGGGGGGTCCAAGGGATAAGTCCCCTCCTAGAATCTAGAGCAGTTGAGATGAAGTCATTGTAGAAACCACAAGTTCTTAGAGGCTCTCTCTGTGCCTGGCTCTGTGTTACGGCCTCCAGTACGGGAGGTCCTGGACAGTCACAGCGTCTACACTGAGGGTCACTCAGGGTAACATGAGGAGAGGTCAGAGACCCTGCCTTTGACAGTACAGGCACGGTTGCCTCTCAGACAACCATGAGATCAAGTCCCAGCCCTACCACTCCCTCTGCAGTGTAACCTTGGGCAAATCCCTCCAAATTTGGCCCCATGTTGAGTCATTTTTGCCCACTTCAAAGGGCTAAATTAGATAATGCACCTGACGCTCTAGGCCCAGATTAGTAAATGGCCAATAAATGATACTCAGACAACCTGGGACTGACGCCCAGAGAGGTTAATTGACTTGCTCGGGGTCACTCAGCTATTAAGCGCTTGGAGCCAGGCTTCATCCCCAGGCTTGTCTGACACCAGGTGTCTTTCTGCCCCGCGCTGGCCTGTGCCAGAGCCAACAGCGGGCATTTTTGTCACTTGATGATTAAGTGATGGGTCTGACCAAACAGTAAGTGGTGTTAAATTGTCTGGGTCCCGAGATAATGAAGTTTGGGGAAGGGGGAGTGGGCGGAGGATTGTTTGGGGAGCGGGGAGAGGAGTGGCTACCTATAATGTAGCAGGAGGCAGGACGCTGGCTCAGGAGGTGGACATGGGACACTGGGAGAGAAAAGCCCAAGGCCGGGAGCCTCTGGGTGGGTGGGCGGGGGCTCTGAGGCGGCCCCCAACTCCACACCCCTATGTAGGTTTTTTGAGGTGTGAGGCCTTGGGGGGGGGCTGCGAATTCCCAAGGCTACTGTTGGAAACAATAAAAGCAGATGGGGCCGCCCCTGCGGGGAAGCCAAACCTCATTTACCAAGACAATGGTCCTCTCCAGGCTGGCCTGGGCCTGTCCTGTCCCACCCCACAGGAAACCATCGATCACCCCACTGAGGACTGAGGACATGGCCCCCTGCGCTTGGGGGGGGGGGGGGGGGGGGGGGGGGGGGGGGGGGGGGG